TAAATCTCCATATGATAGATACTGAAGAGTATATAAATTTTCCAGGTTCTGTAATAATAAACTACAGTTAACACGAATTATGTTAATGATTGAATGTTGGACAAACCAATTTGTTGAATGTTATTTTCAATTTCAAGAATATCATCTCCATTAATTGTAAAATGCTTTTTTTCCTCATCCCAAAAACTCTTCAGTTTTAGCTTATACTATAAATTAATTAGTAAGAAATTAAGAATTAAAAGATCTCTTTGAGATCACATCATTCAGTCTTAAGCATTCATACCATGTAATATACCTTGTAATTTTTATCATAAAAAATTCCATTATAGTTTGGGTCAACATAACTGATCAAAAATGTAATGGAATTTTTTCACAGGAATATTAGTTGTTTCCTCACCCATTTAAAAAAAAATTTGTGGTGTTGAAAAAATATGTTGATTGTTAATGTTTATCATTTGATATTGTTGATAAACTTGCATGCTTTTCTATTTTGTTAGAAATAGATTCTTTGACCATAACAGATGGAGCTGCTATGCAATAAACAAAGGAACAAAGTTAATGCAATTATAACCTTGTGGTTATAGCTAGTGTATTAAGGAAGGACTATGCATATGGTGTCAGTTATAGAGTAGGTCACTTGTCCGCAAAAATATACGTACATTTTACAATTGAAATTTATATCATGATGAATGCTAAGAGATTGGATGAAATAGCTATGTTGAAAATTTCTAAATCACTTGATATACAAGTTAATATCTGTAAGAAGTATTTAATGTCAATTCCTCCAATTTTAACAAATGCAATGTTTCTATTTTGTAAAGAAAATACTGAAAAATTTACTGAAAATCAACTAGAAATATTTACATCAAAATATTCAAAGCTAACTATGAAGATGAGAAATTTACTAATTTTAAATTTCTACAGAATCAACAGATAGCTTAGATGCACGCTGTAAAGAGGAATATGAATTAGAATTACTTCCAATCAACTTTATTTTTGGTACAGATAAAATGTCATTGAAAAAAATTGATATAGAATTTACAGAAAAAAATGGTCTTTTAGATTTTGCAAATTTTCTTATCAAACAAAAGTCTTTGGAGAATTTACATTTAAAATTTTGTTGGGATAATATTAATGATTCTGATGAGTTTTTTCACAAAATTTCATGTATAACCTATTGAAAAAAGTTAACATATAAATGTAGAAGAATCAGTGAATATATGATTGAATTTATTAAATCTCAAAAAGGATTAATAAAATTGGGATTAATTTATGAATTTGATTTTTAGACAGCCTTTAAAATTCCATGGAGAAATTTTTTTATTTCTAAAAATTTGCCTAAACTAAAGAAGTTTAAAGTGGTTTCATGGGCACTCATGAGGCGCTCAGGAAAGCTTTTGATAAATAGTTTTCTTTCCAGCCAGACAGAATTAGTGTCTTTGAATGTTAATAATATCTTATATTCTCATACAAACATAAAGGATTTTATTGAAATTGAGGATAATGATTCAAACTCATCGGAAAGAGATTCTGAGGAATACAATGAAGAAATTGAATAGTCTAGAGAAAAATTCCTTATTAACAGTAATAGAAGATAATGATCTATCCTCAATGTCAATTCTACTCTCGAGGAGGGACATTTGACAAAATTCACAAGACAATAGGTACTTTTTGCACGAGTGCCCATGAGTTGTTATTCACTTCACCAATTAAACTCAAGATTTTGTGAATGTATAAAAGGAGAAGCATTTCTTTAGTTTATCAGTCTATAACCTATATATATAGGTCAAACCATACTTGCACAGAATCTTCTTGTCTGCAAAGTCCAGTTTGCTATACAAACCTCTTTATAAAATACATTAACATTTAATAAATTTTTAGATTCTAAGTCAAAATGTAAAAGTAATTTCTGGATTGATCTTTTTCAGCAATGAATAATAAATTACTAAATCTATAATTTTCAATATTATTTGATAAAGATGTTAATATTTTACAACTAAAATATAAATTATCTTGAAGGGAACTGTTGAATTCTTTAGAACATTTTAAATTTTTATGGAATAAGATCAATTTTCCTTTTGTTTTTTTTTTTTAATTTTTAATCATTGATTTTCAAATGTATGATTGTGATGTGAAAGAATATTCTTTATTTCAATTTTCTTTTTGATAAGCCTTTGATTTTGAATGATTGATGAGTAGTTATTAGCAGTTTTTATCCAACAGCTTAAAAAAAATAATTACAAAATATGCTTATTCATAAATGTTAAGGACATTAGTCCTAGGTATATCTATTCAAGTAACCCTTACCTTTTTTTTCCAATCTAGAAATTATCTATGATTGTCTAATTTTCAACTGAAATTCAAAGACTTCCATTTTGTACTAAATGAAAATCACCACTCCTTGTAGTCATATCATTCTCTTCTATATCTTGATCTTTATTAGCTGGCATGATTTCTGTTCCTAGAAAAACAATTAAAATTAACAGCTTGTGACTCATCGCAAGTTTGATTATGATAATCATACTTTTCTTGATCATTGTGACAATTTAAGTGGTAAATATTTATATTTTACCAATTTTGCATTACCTAATGTCAAATAACCAGGACAGAGATAGGAAATTGCTGAAAACTCCTCCTTATTCATTTGTTGAATTTGTCTTAGAAGCTAATAGATTATGTTTGTCAGTTGGGTTACAGTATTCAATTGTTGTCTGAAATAAAGTTTATAAAACAGATAACAATGCAGCTTTATAATAACTAGTGATAATAATAATGTACATATTGGCATGTAGCAAAGACAAATCATTGTAATCATTGATTGAGTAATTTTATTGCAAATGTTAAAAAAAAATCATTTTTTATATATTCTTATTGCAACACAAATTGATTTGTTCAATATAACCACCAACTATGGATTTAAGAAAAGAGTGGTTATAACTGGTCACATACAACATGACAATATTGATAATCATATTAATTATAGTATCTAAACTAACATAGATTTACATAATTTAAATAAATAACTGAAACCAAGTTACATATATGTAGTTGTTGGCTAAGCCTGTTGAATTCCAATTGCTCTGTCAGCCAGAGACTCTTGCAGCTTTTTCATCTCTTCCTTTCTCTTGACAATATTTTCAATTCTCTCTCATAATTACTCTTAATTTATAAATTTGTGCACTTCTTTACAGCACAGTACAATCCTGATTCAATACTACTCAATGAGGATGATAGGCATGTATAATAGGCTATGGTAAAAAAAAAACAAGATATATTCCAATTCATTTGTATATGACCTTTTTATACCTTTCTAAAGAAATACTCCTGTTTGCGACTAAAGGTCTGAAAGCCTATAATGAAACGAAACACACAATTTGAATTGCTTAAGCATTTGGTATAGAAAAAAAAATTGGGGTAATATGAATCATTTCAGAGCGGAGAGAGAAGAAAAAGCTTTGGCATTCTTATACATAGAAAGATCTGCTTTGAACATATACAACGTAAAAACTGTTGATTAACAGAAAATGTCGTCAGCAAAAGAAGTAAAACAAATGAATTAAATTTTGAATATATGAAAATATGTTAATTAAATCTTTTGTTTTAGGATAATCACACTTATGATGAAATTGATAAAAAATCTTTAAAAACAAACAAAAATAAAAAGAAAATTTCAAATTGTAAAATTGTTATAATATTTCTTATCAGTTTTACAATTTTAGCTATCATTGGAAGTGGTGTTGCCCTATTATTTAAATTTGTTTTTAACAAATCAGGTAGACTATTTCACTTAAAAAAAAAATTACCTTTTTTAAGAAAATTGTTTTTTTTCCACTTCTAGATTTAAATAAAGAAAATTATAATACAAATATAAAAGGTAATCAAAATTTTCTTTTTTTTCAAGTTTCTACAGTTGGATTATTAATCTTTAAAAAAATCAATATTTAGATAAATTGGATGTAATTTCAATGGAAATAATAATTGATCAACAATTTTCTGCTGAACTATCAAATAATCATTCAGATATTTTTGAATTATACAAAGCAGATATCAGTTATTTCATAACTAATCTATTTAGATTATGGAATGAGGCAGGAAATAATCAAATTGAATCTATTGATAATTTCAAGTTTACTCCTGGAAGTATTAAGGCTAATTTTTTTATAAATTTGAATGGTCAACCAGCAGAGAGAGAACCATTAAAGATTGCCGATGTTGAACAGTTTATTAATCAATATTTAACTGATCCACTTTTAAAATTTGAATATTCAAATATGAAAATCATTGATCTAACTGTAAAAGATATTTGGATTATTGATAAACAAACTTTAACCAATCCGTCAAATTTAACTAATGAAGATCACTGTAAATCGTCATTTTCTTTGTTCTATAAAAGATATTTCCCATTTAAAAAAAGACCATCAAATTCTCTTCTCTACTGCAATTTTAATACAGAAATTATGTGTGAATCAAAATTGAATATTCATGGAAATAATCTAGCAAATAATAGATTTAAATGGGTCAGAAGATATCAAAAATACAGTAGTCTATGTATGTAAAAAAAAAAAAAAAACTAAAAATAGATTTTAATTTTTTCATTACAATTTTTTAATTTACACAGGTAAAGATGACCATTTCCTTACAATTGAAGAGGATAACAGCTACAATATATATAGAAAATATGCTTTGTTTGAAATACAAAATATTTTGTACATCGACAAAAATTTTTGTTTAAGTTTTCAGACTAAATTCCATTCTAAAAGTCATTTTTCAATTTATATACAATTCAAAAATGGTGAAGCAGAACAAATATTTCAATCTATAAGAACAACGGAAATAGAATCTAATAATTTTGAATGGCGTCCATTTTTTATCAATGTAAAAAAATCATACAAACAATTAAAGGTAAAAAAAAAAAATATTAACAAAAAGCTTTCTCTCTTTTTTTTTTTGTTTCTTGAAAATAGTTTTTTTTTTTTTAGAATATGAAAATTATAATCAAAGGAATTTTTGATGTTAATAACAAAAATTTTAAAGATGGCGCTGGAATAGATGATATTGGAGCACATTATGGAAATTGTATGAAGGATGGTAGTATCATTTCCTTCACTGAATAATTTGACAATAACTTTTTTCTTTTTATAGATAATCTACAAAAATGTAAATATAAAAATTTCTGTGGTTTTACATTTCAAAATCAAATACAGTCAAGTTTTAATCCATATTTTCAAATTGATTCAAAAAATGGTAAAAAAAAAAAATTTTTTTTTTCTTCATATTAACAACAATTTAACATTTCAGATAAACAATTGTCTTTGATTATACCAAGTGAAATTGAAAATTCATATAGCTATCTTATTTCTCCAATTTACAATAATGCAATGGAAGGAAACAAATGTCTACAATTTTTAAATGTATCTACTAGAGGAATAGTTCAATTTGAATTATTTGTCCGAAAACTGGATCAAAAAGAATTTATATTGTATAAAAAAAAATATAAAGTTACTTATTAACCTAACATTATTTTTTTTTTTTGTATTTTTAAAACAGTTTCCAAAATGTTACAATTAATAAAGAAAATTGGAAAATTTCAATTCCTGGTGATATAATTCAAGTAGGAAAAAATATTTTCTTTTGTTGATAATTATTTTTGAAAACAAAAATTTTTCCATTCTTTTTTAGGTAAAATTTAAATTTTTTGCTATTTCATTTGCCTATCAACAAGCCACTTTTAAAGATATTAACATTGTAGAGAAAGTTTGCAGGGAAAATGGTTAGGAAAAAACAAAAAAAAATATTGTCGATACTTTTTTAAAAATGAAATTTTTTTTTTTTAGTTGTAGTTTCTATGGAATTTACAATCAATCAACAATTTTCCTCTCTCCTATATGATCCAACTTCTGTATTGTTTGCATTCTATAAAACTCAACTAGAGTACTATATTTTTAAATTATTCAAATTTTGGCCAAAATTGGATTACTACTCGATTTGGAATATAGATAATTTGAAATTTAAAAGAGGAAGTATTATTGCCTCTTTAAATTTAAATTTGAAGATTATAAAGGGACAAAAAAAATCAGAAATAAGTTTACAAGATATTCAAAATTTTATCAAAAAATCGTATTCCAATTTAACAAAACTAAATGATAATTTGAAAATTAATTACACTAATGTAATTGATGTTTGGGAAGAAGATAAAATATTAAATGAAAAGAAACTATTGATAAAAGATATTTGTGAAAAAATCAATAATTTTTTTACAAATTCAAAAATTTTCAATTTCAAATTTTATTGTAATTTTGAAAACAAAGGTTCCTGTGGTATGACCAGCAGTCCATGGTTTAAATTTGTCAAAATGAATAATATTGATGAATGTTCATACAAGAATATCAAGTATACTATGTCTATAATATCTGATAGCTATGATTATTATTTGATGCATATAACAACTTTACAACAAACAATTCATAATAACAGTAATTTTTGTTTGAATTTTCAAACTGACATTAATATGAATTTTGCAATTCAAGTTTGTCTTTTTATTTTTTATTTGTTATTTTAAAATACTTTGTTGTAAACTTTTTTTTAGATATTCGGCAAATCATCTGAAAATTTTTTTGGACAAATATCATCAACTTTGAACAGAGATAACGGATTTCATGGATTAAATGGCATTTATTTTTTTGTTAATCTTACTAATCCAAATCCAAATTCTCCATTTGAGGTTTATAAAAATATTTAAAATATTGTTTCTTTTTTATTGTCACTTATTATTTAGATTTTTTTCAAAGTTTTTAACTTTGAAAAAACTGAACAATTTCTAATCAATGAAATTGGAATATCAGCCGGAAGTTGTGTAGATTTAAAAATGGGTAAAAAAAAAAGATATTTGATGTAGCAAATAAAGAATTAACAAATAACTTTTTTATTAGATCGACAAGAAAATTGTATATATAATAATTTCTGCGGTTTCGAACTCAGAAATTCGTGGGAAAGTGGACGTTTAGCATATTTTCGAAAAGACAACAACATAAAAACAGATGGTAAGAAACAAAACATTAAAATGATTTAAACAAACGCAAAAAAAAACATCATAAATATTTTAGGTGGAAATGTTTCATTGACAATTTTCACTCATTTCCATTGGAATTACGAGGACAATTTTTCTGAAATTATCACACCTTTCCTGGGTTTTACATATTTTGAAAAATGTTTACATTTCACTGGAATAACTGGTCTTGATGAACGCTATTCTTTTCTTGATTTTGAATTATTTGGTAGAAATAATCTAAAAACAAAATTTGAAAGATTAAAAACTGTAAAAATTCGTAAAGATAGTTGGAAATTTTTCGTACCAGGTTATTTTGTTCAAGTTAGTATGATTTTTGAATTGATAAAATTTTTGTTAAAAATTTTTTTTTTTGTTTTTTTCATTTATTTAAGATGAAATTTAAATTTATGGATTTTAGTTATAAATCTGATTTAATAGTTACTATTGGCAATATTCAATTTCTAAATGAATCTTGTTGGAATAACAGTAAAAAAAAAATCATTTTCTTTTCAGAAATCTTAGTTTTTTTTTCTTTATCTTTTCAGCTGTTGCTGATATTGATTTGAAAATTGATAGAAAATTTAATACTGAATTGATAAATGAAAGATCAGAATTATACAAAATTTATCAACGTGATTTATCGTATTTTTTCCAACACTTTCTTAAAATCGACTCTAATCATTCAATACAATATTTAAATAATTTAAAATTCAGACAAGATGAATTCAAAAGTGGAATTGCTGTTAAAGCAAAATTACATATTCAAACAATAACTATACCAAGAAATGATAGATTAACTAATGATGTTATTTCAAAATATGTTGACAATCTAACTAGAAACATCAAAGCAAAACCTATGATAGATAGAATGAAAATAAAGTCTATATCTGTTGGAAATGTATGGAAAACTCCTAAAACAATTTATACAAACAATGAAAATCACTGTACAAAAACTTTTTCAAAATTTTATTCAAGATATTTTCCCTTTCAAAAAATTCCATCGAATTATCAATTTTATTGTAATTTTTCAAAAGATTTTTGTAATATGACATTTAAAGTTTATTCATATGAATTTTTTGAACCAAAAACATATCCAAGAAGGGATATTATTAATTGTAAGTATTAGTTAGACAAAAATAGAAAAAAAAGGGCAGTAATACAGAGATGGAGAATTTTTTCCAGGTGAATTTAAACATTTTTGGAATGGAGTTTCAGGATATAAATACTTTACTATTAAAACTAAATTTCTTGAAAATATTGAAGAATATTTTTGTCTAAATATAGCAGTTATATTCTCATACAAACAGCTTATTTCAGTTCAGTATAATTTTTAAAAAAGAAATTAAAAAACATTATGTTTTGATTTAAAATTTCATCCATTAGGTTTATATTCAAAATTCAAATGATGAACCAAAATATATCGGTGAAATAGCACAAGATAATGAAGAGATAAATTCAAACATTTGGTCTGGTTATCTTTTTGATGGAATAAATTATTATCATCATCAACATTCTCCAATAAAGGTAAATTTTTTTATTTAATAAAAAGATGCAAAGAAGACTTTTTTTTATAGATAATTTTAAAAATATTTCCTCCAACTTACTCTAGTTTTAAACTTGATGAAATTGGTGTTAGTAATGGAAAATGTATTGATTACAAGTCTAGTAAGGTTTTCATTCATTAAAAAAACAATCCATTTTTGGCGGCCATTTTGAAAATCTATTCTTATTTCTGTTTCTCTAGAGTTACAACAAAATTGTCTTGAAAAACATTTTTGCGGTTTTACTATCAACAGTCCTTTTGATTTGAATTATCATCTTTATTTCAATAAATATAGTAAAAGTTTGAAAATTTTAATTTTAAACACAATAAAAACAAAAAAATAACCCAAAACAGCAAAGAAACTGAATTTAATAAAGATGGAGAATTTAAAGGAGGACAATTTAACTGGAAATTTTGACTTAATTTCTCCAATTCTCAATTTTCAAAATCAAAAAAGATGTATGCATTTTATTCAACCAATTTTCAGAAATGTCTCAATACTGGCAATAAAAGATGGAGATAAGAATTTCTTTGAGTAGTTTTTGTTTTTTCTAGTTTTTTTTTTTAAATTTCCACTAATTTTTTGTAAAATTCAGACTAGGAAAATTAAATTCTTGCTATGACAATTTTAAATATACAATTCCTGAAGATATAATTCAAGTAAAAGTTTTTTACATATATTTATATTAAAAATTCTTCTAATTTCACAAATGTTTTGCTTTTTTAAGTTTAAGATAAGATTTAATATGCAGTTTGCTTCATCTACACTTCCTTCAAAACATTATAGTGGAATTATCAGAGATATTCAAATTTTTCAAGGACCCTGTTGGAAAAATGGTTGTTCTTTTCTTTTTTTCAATTTTTTATTCTACAACCTTTTTTGTGCTTTAATCAGATGGTTATAGTTGTAATTTTCGAGATGGGTATTGTTCCTACAAGTCTATAGATATTGATCAATCAAACTATCATTGGACTAGGAAATCTTATGAAACTTGTATACCTAACTCATACGCTTTAGCTGTATCGAGTGAATATGGTAATTATGGAAAAGTTGCGTTAATTGCTTCTAAGTTATTTCGAAATATTGGTGATAAATGTCTAACTGTTGAACATTTCACTAACAAAAAAAGTGATGATAGCATTTTTTCGGTAAAGACAAAAAAATTAAAAAAAATTTTTTTTTTCAAATAAAAAACCCGTTAAAAAATTTCAGGTTTCTTTCATATTGGAAAATGGAATAAATTATTTAGTTGGTTCTTTTAAATATACTTCTGATGGATTAATTTCAAATACTAAAAGAAAGGATACTTTCTATAATCTTCCTTCAGAACCATTCCAGATACTTTTCAAGTATATAAATAGTGATTTAGAACAACAAACTGTATATATTACAGGAGTTGAAATCATTGATTGTGCAAAAGATAGTATTGCAATTCCTGGTAATTTATTAATAAATAATTTTAATATCTTAAATTTATTAATTTTAATATTTTTAGTAAATGAATTTAATTGTGATTTCAATTATAATTTATGTAATTATAAATTTAGTAATAAATTGGAAAGTACTTTTCAGTGGTATCACAGTTATTTGGGTAAATATTGTTAAAATAAAAATATAGATATGTATTTTACAATCTTTTCTTTTTAGGTGGATACCTCTCACTATACTCTTTTTTTGGATATGATGATAATGCAATTATAACATCACCAAATTTTACTAAAGATCTTATTTATAAATATCAATATTTCACATTCAGTTTTTTTCAAGACGTATCACCAACATTAAAAACCCATGAAGATATGGATATGATAACAGTTTTCAAGAATTTCAATAATAAAAAAAGTACAAGGTATTGTTGTTATTTTTTTTTTTGGTCTATGTTAAACACTAATCTCTTATCCCTTTATCTCGCTTTCTCTCTCAGTATTAGATTTAAACCTGCTACGAATTGTCGACAACGTCAATTTATTGAATTAGAACCAGATTTAAAGAATGTAACATTGAATAATATTATTATATATTCAAATGTTATCTCTTTGTTTTTCTTTCCCAGTTGATTTTTGAAGTCTATAACTATAATTTAACAACAGACATTTATCTTGATGACTTTGGACTATCAAATTTAAAACCGGAAGTTGTAGATTTATCAAATGGTAACAGTTTGTTTTTTTTTTGTTTGTTTGTTTTTAAATTATAAAGTGTATTTTTTGAAGATTTAAACAAAGAGTTATATTGTTATTTCAATAAAGAATATTGTTACATCAATGACTTCTACAGTTGGAGAAGAGTTTTTCAACCTGCCTGTTTGTTTGTTTGTTTTTTTTTTTTAAATATTTTAATTATATTTCTTTTTCAAAGGTAAGTTTTTTGTGTCAAAAACATTTGCAAGTGCAACATTAAATGTTACAATCAATAATTATGGAGACTTTTGCATCTCATTCCAATATATGGTATCACTGAAAAATCCAAAATTTTGTAATGTTCATTTAATGGTAAGATCTTTCTTCTTTAAAAAGAATATTAACTAATATTTATTTTTTAGATTTTTGACGATGGAAAATTAATTGATTTTCAACAAAAAAACACCAATTCACGTATAAGAGAAATGATGGATATAAAAGGACCAACAAAAGTTTAACCTTAATTAATTCTTTTCATCCAATAAAAACAGAATATAAATTTTTGGTTTTTGTTTTTAGATTGACTTTCAAAGTTCTTATTTTTCACAAGTTTTTGATTTTATTGCAATATATTATATTCAAATATTGGAGGGTAAATGCCAAAATCCAACTACACAAGTAAAAAATGGTTAGTATGAAACTGACAACAGGATAACTGTTTTTTAAAAAATATATATTTCTTTAAATTATTTTGTTTTGTTTGTTTAGAAAGTAATTTGAATTGTAATTTTGAAAATGGTATGTGTGGTTATGAAATTACTAGTGGATTATATTCACCATTGATACTTTATAAAGGTGATATTGTGAAGGGTATATTTGTTAAAAGTTAGTTCTCTCCCCCTCTCTCTCTCTCTCTTTCTTTCTCTCTCATATATATTTCTTTAAAGATACAGGTTTGATTTTAAGAAGACGACTTCCAGTTCATTATTATAACGCTCCAAGAGTAGTAAACCTTCTTTCACCTATTATCAATAATAATCTCAATACAAAATGCTTTCAATATGAATCATATTTTTTAAATAATGGTACACTTTCAAATTTAAAAGGTATTCGTATTTATACTACAACTAATTATCGTTGGATTTTAAGGTAAATTTGATATTTAAAATTAAAGTTTTTACAAAATAATTTTTTATTTATTTATTTTTTTTTTAAACAGTTGTACATCAACATTTAAAGATTGTTCAAAATTGGAAATTTCAAAAGATACTATACAGATTAGATTGAACTTTGATGAAATTTCTTTGGATAATGAACAATTGATTTTTGATAATTTTACCTTGAAAAATCATCCTTGTTAATCAATGATTAAAACAAATATTTTTATCTTCTTTATATAAGCCTATTTTTTCATATAAAATACAAAAGTAAGAAAACAGATTATTGAATGCTCGAATAATGAAATTATGATATAAAAGTTCAATTTAAACAATTGACATCATCATCATCACCACAAGGAAGATATACAAATTTTGACAATAATATTTGCTCCTTGCATTACAAGTTCAGCAGTCTGTTCATTAAAGTCTAAACTATTTTCTGCAAGACATGAATATTTGTCTTTAGTTGAAGTTTTTTTGTTTAACATATTTTCCTCCAGAGAGAGGCATGACTGTTAGTAGTGTATATCAGTAAATGAATGAGAGTGATGTAACTGGATAACAGTGGTAATAATTTCCCCCCCCCCAACACCAATGGTGTGTTTTCTCTCAATTATAGCCATTTTCTCCCAGTCCCCTCAGTTTGCTTCTTCCTTTGTGATTACTTAATAATTCCTTTAGTTGCTAATTTCTGTCTGATAGATATATTATTAATAACATTTTAGGTAGAGCTTTGAATAATAGATAACTGAACAAATATTCAATCTTCCATTTATATGAACAAGGTATAAACATTTTTTTAAAATCACCTAAGTTTTCCTCTACATAGAGCTTTTAGGGGTCGACAGGAAATGTCCACAGATGAGAAATTTCAAGACTAGATTTTGGATTAAAAAATGGTTAGGAAGAAGAAGACAGCAACTGATTTGTACTTAGGAGGGTCTCCTCCAAAGGCTAGGGGTAATGGAAAAAGTTAGACACAACCAAGGGCTGGGTTAGGGTTAGGGTAAAAGCACTGATTTGTGGACATTTTCTGTCGCATCCTGAAAATTGTCTGTTTGATGGAAAATCTATGGTTTGTGATAAGTGTGCAGATTAGTTTTATATAAATGGAAATAATTGTGGAAAATGTCCATTGCACTGTAGTGAATGCTCTTATAATAAGAGATATGAATGTTCAAATACGAATGGCCAATGTATAATTTGCCCATCCAATTGTAAAACATGCATTGCTCACTCTGAAAGAAAAGCAATCTGCACAGAGTGTGAATCAAACCAACACTCCCTTCAAAGTGATGGAATCTGTAGGCTTTGCTCTAATGTTACTTTTGCAAATTGCAAAACCTGCACTTCCGAATCAAGTTTGCTGAAAGAAAAATGTCTTACTTGTAGTGCTAGCTTTGTTCTGAAAGATGATGAATCAGAATGTGTTTCATGTCCTATTGCTGGCTCTGGATTATGTGCTCATGTTAGTGAATGTTTAAAATGTAAAAAAAATAAAGCATCTTAGGATAAATACTAGTTCAATCCAACGCAATTTTTGCTACACCTATCACTTTGTTGATATTAACACTAATCATTCTATGAATTTATCAGATTACAAATAGAACTAATGAATGGGACAGAAATTTTTCTGTTAAATACATTGATTGTTGATTATCTAAATTACAAGATGATAGACTAATCAGTTCAATTTTGATGCATGATAAGTTCTGACCATCACAAATTGATTTAAATCCATTTCCTAGATTATCCTTTGAAGATAAATCTATATGTTTTATGATTTATATATGAATGTAAGGAGTGTCTTTCCTATGAAATTGTTTAGCTTTCTATATATGAATATTGAATTTTGTGTAAAAAAGAGTAAAAAGTTGATTTTAGTTAAATGTTTAAAATTTTTGAATATTCTAAAAGAATAAGAATTTTCATAAAATCAATAAAAAGAAAATAAGAAGGTGAGAAAAATATTTAATTTTTAGAAAGTTATTAAAATATTTTCTTAATTAAAAACATGACAATAAAACTGGAGATAAATTTCTTTTCATTTAAAACAAATGTAATTGAAAGACAAATGTGATTAAAGATAAATATTAAACAATTCTTTATGGGCAAAATCAAGAAAATAGAGAATGATTTCAACAGAATCACTATTAACAATTATAGTTTTATTTACATGTTAAAGTTGATAGTTGTGTTTTTAACATATTTTCCAACTACTGTTAAAACAGTTGAATATTTCAATGGAATAACTGTTTATGACATTTTCAAAGAAACTAATGAATTTGTTGTTGGCAGTCTCTTTATTAAAAGAGCCAATACAAGCCAGAAATATCCTATTATCTATGCTGAATTTGACCCTGTTGATTATATAAATCCATTCTTTCATGGGGACACCTTTGAAAAATCTTTGCAAAAAATATGGATACGATACTTTCTATTATTTTGCCAGAAGTGCAAAAACTGAAAAGAAAGTTTGCTGCTATTGGTTTGTAAGAAACAATGTATCAGAATTTGAGGTTCAAAAATACAGTGCATGTTCCGGAAGTGTTTTAAAGTGCTTTAAAAATACTATTCTACATTGTCAGCTTATTTCAATTTTGTTTGCAGTCTGTAAACCAAAACTTGAAAATGGTTTGTAAAATTCAAACAAAATTAATCTCTTTCACTAATAATAGTTCTATTATTAAAGTTCTACATAAATACAATATTTTGCATGTAAATTTTTCCATTCAAGTTTACGAAGAAGACGAATTTTCAATTATTGGAAAAGTTTTTGTTCAAGTAAAAAATGAAAGTTTCCTAAGAGTTTTACAGTACAATGACAATCCTCTTTCGCTCACAAATACAATTTGTAAATTTCTTGGATACGATGATTATCATTCTTACTCAATGTATTCAAAATTCAAAAATTCAAGTAATTTTACAGCAATAATTACAAGTGCATATTTTGAAAATCTGTAAATGTTTTTCTTTTTTTTTAAACCGATTTCGAATAAACTCAACAATTAATCCTTTTAACTATTTCAAGAGTTTCAAGGAATCATGTGACTTATCGAGAAACGTATATAAAGTGTTTTAAACGAAATGAGTCATGTTCGTAAACATACATTGTCATATATGATTTCTCCCCGTATAATTTGTTTCTCCTCTGTTTAGATTATTTTGTAGCCTTGCAATATGAAGACTATCATTTGTACTTTAAAACTAATAGTACAATTTTTCCCCATCTTCATTAATGAATACAAACATTACCATCGATATCTTTGTGAAAAATCTCAATTTATTACAGAAATAATTAATTATTTAACTGACGGCGATGATGTCATTTTAATGGGCAAAAATGAAACAAAACATTTCATCAAATTTAAATGGGAATTGTACCAAAAGAAACTTTATGTAAATGATGATTTGAAAGGTTTTTATCATACAAAATTCAATAAAACCAATACTCGCATACCCTAATAATAATATAGAATTTGAGGTGAAGCCAACTGGAAATGCTAAAAATTTGCCTTTTGAAATAAAAACAATAGGAAATAGTCATTCTGAATATTTCCTTAATTCAAAAACTTATGGTCTAATATATCCATTGGTAGAAAGTGATACAAACTTTGAGATGTTTTGCAATTCTCAGTGCCAAAAAGTTTCAAAAATCAATGATTTATTTAGTTGTTTCAAGACAAGTATAAAATCTGATGTATATATTCTATAGGCTAAAAGTTTTAATATAGGCTAAAAAAAGGGCAACAGCAACAGTTTTAGCAATGGTACCATCATCAGTAGGCAACATCTTGAAATATAAGAAACTAAAACAAGACAATAGGGGCAGTCCAAAGAAGGTTTCTGACAGAGATAGCCAGTATGAAAAGGATTGTGAAGAAACTGAAAGGTAACAAGCAAAGAGTGACAGCAGCAAAGATATTAAAGGAATTAGAAATAGATGTAAGCATAAGAACAATACAGAGGGAGCTGAAAAGACAAAATTTCAAGTATAAAAGAGTCAGACAAAGAACTGATCTCACCTCCAAAGATTGCAAATGGAGAAAAGAATACTGCCTCAAAATTATTAGAGAAAATATAGACTGGTCTAGGGTTATTTTTACTGATGACGCTAGGTTTTCGCTAAGTGGACCCGATGACTTTAGGACTTGGACCAGCAATAGTGAAAAGGATTTCAGGGTGACGAAAAATATGGGGAGAGGTGGAGTATTGGTGCAGGGGTTGATAACCTCTGATGGTGTATTTGAAGCCTGGAGGATAAGGAGAAGGCTAAATGCAGAAAACCATAGCTCCTTCATTGTGGAAGATGTTCTGCCTGTGATAGAAGAAATTGAGGCAAAAATGGGCAGGCAGAACATCTTCCAGCAAGACAATGCTGGCTGTCACACTGCAAGGAAAACAAAAAGAGCCCTTAAAAACAACAATATTACACCCATTGATTGGCCAGCAAGGAGCCCTGATCTCAGCCCAACATTTAACAATTTAATGTTGTTTCAAAAAATCATGTTACGAGGCGAAATAAGAAAAAAAATCAGAAAACTATGGTAATTTCTATAAAAAAAATATGTAAAAACGTACCTAACTGCCATTTTAAAGAAATTTATATAAAATTGCAAGTTTAACCTATTATTAAACACTAAAAAAATAAAAAAAATAATCTTTTTTCATCATGAAAAAAATTTTTAATATTTTTCCTATCAAAATTTGAGGTGTTCCAAAATACATGTCGTTTATTTCATATAAAAGATATACAGTATAACAGTATATGCTGTGTATAAATTATATTGTATGAGCCCCAATTTACGTTTTTGTTTTTCTTTTCATTATCTGCAGCGTTATCATGGAGAGTCACCTTATTGTTTTACAATTTTTATTCAAAGTAGAAAAACAGATGGTTGGATAGTTTCATTTCTCCTTTTTGGAGTTATTAACCCTCTAATGAGCAGTTCTTTTTTGTTTATGTATATTCATATCATTTTTATTGTTAAAAAGTCATCAAAAGAACTTCACCAAGTAAATAGAAAAGATAAAAGAGAGAGAAGTGTTAAATTGAGTATCTTTATCCTTTCTGGATCGAACTTAGTCATTTGGTTACCAACTTCATTCTTGAGTTATTACAACATTCATATATAACTTTGACTTAATGAACATAATCTTTTTTCCATACCAGCTTTTGCTGCTCTACTTTGGGATATATC